CTGGAGTGAGCCCTTTAGCATCAGCCAGATCTTTTAGGTTCTGGGTTATTCTTTCTAGGGTACCATGAAAGTGTTCTCTAGTTTGTTGGATTTTGAATGATGGACTATTTCAGTGAAGTACCTGACTCCCAAAGATCCCAAACACTGCAGGTTCTCAGAGAGGAAATTGGAACCTCCATCTTTGAGAATATGTGTATCCATTCTTGCCCTCTTTAATATATTTTTAGCAGTACATCCCAGGGATATATTTAAAATATAAAGTTATCCATGTTACTTCCGTGTCTAAAAGCCTCCAGTGGAATTTCTAATTTGAGATAATGAACTAAACGTAAGTTTACCTTCCCTCCCTCCCCAGGCCCCACTGAAATTGAAGTCAAGAAATGCAAAAAGGAATTGACACATCTCAGCAAAGAAAACTGAAGGGATTTGGTTATAAGTGGAGAAGATCTCAGCACATTTCTTTAAGAGAGAAAGTGGATGAAGCATGATAATGAAAGAGTGAAGAACCTTTCAGATAAAATATAAGCTGATCTGAACAACATAACCCCAAAGAGACTTGAGCACCTGAAAAGTTTGTCTACTGAAGAATTACTCCGGTTGTAAAATTGAGCCCTCTCCTACTCTTCCCCAACTCTTATGCACAGAACACAGGCAGTCTCCACTATTGATACCCGTTAAAAATGTCTTGTTATTGTTGCTGTTGTTTGTATAAAGGAATTGAACAGACTGCCTGCAGAGATATAAGAGTTGGTGCTCCAGAAAAAAATTTCTCTTCTAGTGGAAATAAGTGCCCCCAGCCAGTAGCTGATTCTCTACTGACAGCTGAGACCTCCTACTCAAGTGCCTGTTGCCTTCAGGTATAGAAGAGATTTGCTGAAGAAACAGACCTAACCGTACAACAGCAGAGGAAACCCATGCTGACTGTTATAGAAGTTAACAGTTATGTTGATTCTTAAATGGTAATAGTGAGTTAGAAATTCCCAGACATGGGTGATGGGGAGGGAAGAGGAATAAGAAAAGTCACCAGGTAGAATTAGGGGCCTTGAAGATATGACAAACTCTGAGGGAAACAAAGACAATGTAGAAAGAGTAACTTAATTTTAATTCCATCTTCAGAGAGAGTTGGGGTGTATTTAAGATGAAAAACAGGATACTACAAAGAAACAGAAAACTCAGGAGTTCGAGACCAGCCTAGGCAAGATGGCAACACCCTGTCTCTACAAAATAATTTTTAAAAATTAGCCAAGCATGGTGGCATGTGCCTGTGGTCCTAGCTACTTGGGAGGCTGAGATGGGAAGATCACTTGAGCCCAGAAGTTCAGGGCTACAGTGAACCATGATGGTGCCACTGTACTCCAGCCTGGGGGACAGAGTGAGACCCTGTCTCTTAAAAAGCAGTAAAAGAAAGAGAAAACTGAGAATAAGAAGATCTCTTTGAAAATAAAATAAGACTGCTATAAGTATTTGGTATATGGTCTGGAAAATAAAGTTGAGGGAATCTCTCCAGATAAAGAGCAAAAAGAGATAGAAAATATAAAGAAAGAAAAGAGACATAGACAATCAATATTTAATGTTAGGAGTTCCTGGAAGAGAGAACAGAGACAATGTAGGTGAAGAAGTAAAAAGAAAAAGAATTGAAGAACAGAGCAAGCTAAGTCTCCAGATTTAGAGGTCCCAATAAAATCTACATCTAGACACAATATTGTAAAATTTTGGAATATTAAGAATAGAAGGAAGAGATTAAAGTGGCCAGGGAGAAAACAAATGAGGTCATCACGATTAGCTCAACACAAAAATGGATGAGAAACAGACTGCTGACAGATTTGTCATCAGCAACACTGAATGCCAGAAGTCAATGGGTCAACATCTTCACATAGCTTATAGAAAATTTTTATACCTAGAATTTCACAGTAAGGCAAACTGTCAAGAAGAATATCAAAGTGAAGACATTTTCTGACAGGCAAATTTTCAGAAAGTCTCCCTCCTTTGCACCCTTACTGAGGAAGTATCTTGAGGAAGCTCTCCAGCAAAATGAGGATGAAAACCAGGAAAGAAGAAGGAATGGGATCCATAAAACAGCAGAAAGAAGAAGAAATGGGATCTATAAAACAGTGGACCTTACTTAGGATGTCTCATTCTAGAGTGACAGTTATCCAAAAGGATGTCTTACTCTAGAGTGACAGCTATCCAGCAGACTAATTTCAGATGAGAACACAGTCTTGGGCTTTCTGGGAAGAATGTGCATTCAGTGCCATAGATGGTATCATTGAGAAGCTGGGATGCTTGAGAAGGTTATTTAGTCAAGAAAAAGACAAATCAACAATATGTCAAAAAATTCAGGTCCAATTGTAGAGCAGAATAAAATGAGGCATGATTTTGAGTTATTCAGGAAAAATAAGAAGAGGCTTGATAGGTACATTTCCTTTTCTATGGCACAGGCATGATGATATTGGGTGTGTAGGGAAGAAAATATCCTAGAAAGAAAATATAGTAAGCTCTCAGTAAGAAGTATCTAGCCAAAATAATATCGATATCATTTATTAGTATTCAGTGTTCAGATCAGCCTATTGACAAAGTGTGAAAGGCTTCATTTTTTATTCAGAACTGAAGTTGAAAGTAATTAATGCTGACAAAGGGAAAGAAAGCAGAAAGAGATTGAGAATTAGAGGAAGATAGGTGGAATCAAAGGTAGAGATACTTATATATTCAAAGTGGGGATGAAAAGATCTTCAGTTAATGGAACAAGAACTAGAGGATTAGTATATTGTTCAAAGCTATAAATCAAACCAATAGATGTATTAAAAAGTGATGTAACTATCAGACATTTGGAGAGAGATGGACAAAGGAAAGTGGAGATAGTGTAAGTTAAATCCTTATCTTTTGTAATGGGGAATTATTAAAGATGGTGTAAAGTCACTAAGTCAGGAAATTATTGCTCAAACATATTATTTAAAGTTAGAAAGTTAGTTACCAGACGATCTAAAATAAATATTGTTAAAAGCATTACCTCTAGGGAATGGGACTAGATGTAAAAAGGGTGGGATGGGAAACTGTGTTTTTCATTTTAAGTCCTTCTGTACTATTTAATTTTTTACCTTGTGCATGTATTACTTTGAAAAAATTTCTAATAAACCCAAATAAAAATCTTCCAGTGACTTCACATTGATTAAGATGCAACCCAGCTAAAGCTTTTAACATGGTTTTCAAGGTCCTCAAGTACCTAGGTCCACTTGATGTGTCCAGGCTCATGATATCTCCCCACTAGTCTCTTAAGTATCTTCCAGTTGTTAAAATACATTAGGTATCTTCCAGTTATTAAAACACACTTCACATTCTTTTGTTTGTACAGGTGTTCCACAAAAAACAAAGCCTACTGCTGATCTCACCATGTCTGCTGAGTAAGCTTACCATCTAGTGGTTTTTTTAATATTTGTTGCATGAAAGAATGTCCAATACAACATTGAATGAAGTTTGCCAACTTTATTCTTTTCCAAGAAGGCCTTTGATGTTTGCCCCTTTTCTGGGAAACATTTCAAGAAGGACCCTCCAGGGCCCTAAGCTTTCCTGCACTCCTCTTCATTTGACAGTTTTAATAAGTTTTAGTCTTACATGAGGCCAGCTGGTGTCAGAGGATTTCTGTCCACCTGTCAGTCTCCCTGGTGTACTCTTTGCTACTTTCCCTGAACATCATAACCTCTTTTCAGCTATTTTTAACCGTGTACTTTGGAGAAACAGCCAACTATCTAATGGAAATCTTTAGGCCACCAAGTTTCTTTTTTTTTTTTTTTTAAGTTTTATTTTACTTTTAATTGGCTCATAATAATTGTACATACTTATAGGGTATAGTGTGATGTTTTGATACATGTATACATTTTGTGATGATCAAATCAGGGTATTTAGCATATTTTTCACCTCAAACATTTATCATCCCTTTGTGGTAAGAACATTCAAAATCCTCTCTTCTAGCTATTTTGAAATATACAATATACTATTGTTAACTATAGTCACCCTACTGTGCAGTAGAACACCAGAACTTGTTCCTATCTAACTGAACCTCTGTACCTGTTGACCAGTCTATCCCCATCTCCCCTGCCCCACTACCCTCCCAAGCCTCTGGCAACCACTATTCTACTCTCTACTGCTATGAAATCAACTTTTAAAATTATAGAATCTACTTTTGTGTGAGATTGTATAGTAGTCATCTTTACATGCCTTGCTTATTTCACTTAACATAATGTCCTCTGGGCCCAATCATGTTGCCACAAATGACAAAATTTCTTTTTACAGTTGAATAGTATTCCATTGTGTATATACACCACATTTTCTTTATCCATTCATCCACTGATGGACACTTAGGTTGATTCCATGCAGCTATTGTGAATAATGCTGCAGTAAACATGGGAATGCAGATATCCTTCCACATAACTGATTTTATTTCCTTTGGATATATGCTCAGTAGTGGGATTCAGGATCATATGGTACTTCCATTTTTTAATTTTTTTAAGGAAACTTCATTCTGTTTTCCATCATTGCTGGACTAATTTACAACAGCATATAAGACTTCCTCTTTCTTCACATTTACCCCAACATTTGTTATTTTTTGTCTTTTTGATAATAGCCATTCTAACTGAACTGAGGTGATATGTCATTATGGTTTTAATTTGCATTTCCCTGATGATTAGTGATGCTAAGCATTAGTATGTCTTCTTTAGAGAAATGTCTATTCAGGCATTTTGCCCATTTTTAAATGGAATTATTTATTCTTCTGCTATTGAGTTGAGTTTTCTATATAGTCTGGGCATTAACCCCTTGTCAGATGCATAGTTTGCATATGTTTTCTCCCATTCCTTAAGTTACCTTCAATGTTTCTTTTGCTGTACATCTGAATTTTAATTTACTGTAGTACCATTTCTCTATATTTGCTTTTGTTGTATGCTTTTGAGGTCTTA